CGGCTTCTACAAATGTACAGGGTTCAATGGGACGTGCTACAGGGTTTCTTTATGAGGGGTTTAGGGTTGAGTGTTTGGGCATCGGGTGAGGGGTCATTCGGGTTTCATGAAAAGGTTTGATCTAGTTATGGAGTCTAAGATTGGATGACAAGCGAGCATGCCGTCAGTTGCCGTCAGATCCCAAAACGCCGAACCCTCAATCCTTAAGCCTAAGCTAGGGATATCAGAGGCTCTCCGCACCTTGCTCAGATCATTATGTGCATCCTTCATAACTGTGAACCCACGCAGAGAAAGGGACGTTGGAATCTAAAGGGTCTAGGGTTGAGGGCCAACCAACGCAAGCCTCGTAGAAAGTCCTTGATATAGGGGTCTGATTGTTGGTGCTCATATTCCCTAGCAGCCCCAGTTAATTCTATGATGCTGTGCCGCAAACCGCTCTACATATCAAGGACCCTGTTTTTCGGCTGAGGTCTGGTTATTTCTGCCTGGTTGCAAAGAGCCGCCGTATGGTGCGGCAGAGGCGAAGGAGGCGCCGCGGATTCTCAAGGACTCGCTTTGGTAACTGGAGCTCCCCTGGGCTCAGCTTAGGGTTCAGGGCTTTAGGTTTTAGCGTAGGGTTCAGGGTTTAGGGTTGAGGGTTTAGGGTTTAGGGTTCTGGTTCTTAGTAGGGGAATGGGGGAATGGGTTATTGGGACTACTAAAGGCGACCTTAAGGGACTATGATAGGGATCCATTCCCCCATTCGCTACGAAGCACCAGACAGTCTGGGCTGTAAGGTTTTGAAGGCTCAGGGCTTTTTCCCTTAAGGGCTATACTATAAGGCTACATTCATGCTTACTACAAAATTCGTAGGGGTTGCTATGTATTATATTGATGCTTTCTGCAGGACTGACGTCAGGGGTTACCTATCAAGATTGAAGGGGCCAGGAGGGTAATTTTGCTGGTTGGGCCCTGTTTTTCTGGCATGGAGTTCTTCGAAGCATAGGCCATCAGCAATTAGCAGTGGTAACCGCTTGCAGCCCTACCTAGCTACAGCCATAGGTTTCTCGATCCTAGATGCAATGGGCATCAAAGCCAAATCCCTAAACCCCAAACCCCGACCCCCAAAGCCTAAACCCCTAACCTTCACGTGAAATCAAGGCACATTTGCAGCTACACAAACATCTTGGTCCGAATCCTGACTTCCGATATTTTGCAGTGCGAAGCCATTTGGGGCTTACGGGTTCAGGGTAGCCACACAAGACCCCAATGCCGAAGCCGAAAAGCTCGATATGTGGACCTTCAACTCTCGATCCGCATTATGAGCTCCCGGCCTGAAATCAAGGGATTAGGTAGTATTATTGGGGAGACCCCTTAAAGGGTACCCCTTCTGAAGCCTACTTCTGGCTCTCTTAAAAGGGGCCTTATTGAGAGGATCTATATCCCCAAGGCTCTCCCTAATCCCAACTCCCAGGGATGAATCTTTTCGGGTGGATCTGTTGCGCGCTGTGCTGCAGGTGGCATCAGAGGCCATGGCGGAGATCGAAAGTCTGGCATTGGCGGATCTACTTAGAGGATCATGGGACTTAGTAAGTAGGTTATAACTGGGGTTATAAGTCTCCTAAGTGGGGTTATCCTAATTATAGCCTACTTATAACCTTACTTACTAAGTCCCATGAGCCTTCAAGCAGTTCAGGGGATGGGCTTTTGGGCTTTGGGAGATTTGGCATCAAAGGTTTACCCAAAGGCCCCAAAGTAGTTCCTTTTTGGGGTTCATATATAGAATCCTATAGGGTAACTCCAAAAAGGAACTACTTTGGGGCCCCTGGGTAATGACTGCTTGGGACCTTGGTCCGGGATTACTCTCTTGCGGTGCCCAGCGCAAGTCGGCCCAAGACATGATGGTTGGTCAAAATTAGGGTCCCTTTAAAGGGCTCTATAAGGGTTACTATAATAAGGGATACTACAAGGGTATATACTATAATATGGGTGGTTGTCAAAATTAGGGTCCCTCTCTGGGTCCCTATTATAGTACGGCACCTAATATTTAGGGTACCCAAAAAGGGACCCAATATTGACAACCACCCACATCTTTATTCAGAAGTTCCGTTTCTTGAAGACCTAATCGTTGAAACCCCGTCACATGAGCCTTGCTGCCCAAAGGGCCGCAACGCGAAGCGCTGCAGCTCCAGGGTACTTTCCAGAGGAAGCACATGGTTTGGGAAGGAGGGCCCCAGGCATCTTGCCTTCCCGCGAAGGCCCATCTAAGCTTCCAGGCTGAAGATGTTAAACTCTAATGTAGGAACCTGATTAAGAAACCTTGGGCATTTAATTATTAGGGTTCCTTATATATGAACCCTACTATTTTGGGGCTATAGGCCCAGGGTTTCTTAATCAGGTTCCTACATCAATCCGCAGCATCCTCGCAGTCTGCATCCCTCAGTGCACTAACCCATAATCCCAGGAAGTAGGTTCCTCCACTGCAAAAGCCTTCTTCACGACCCCCTAGGTTTTCAAAGAACACCCGTGGAACTCGCGATCTTTAAACTTGTAATGCGCCTTCTGAGAGTCCTACGAATTGAAGCAATGACTTGTGCATTCATTGCGGGGTCTGAAGTACATACGTAGTTACCGTAGCTACCGGAGCCGTTTGATGTTGCAAGATTTTCTCCGGGACGGATCCACATGCTATAAGGTTAGCAGTGTGGGTTTTAGGGCTGGTGGTTTAGCTTTCAGCGAGCACCGGTTGCAGGTGTGGTGCGTTCCCCTGCCGATGATCCCAAAGCAAGGACGGTCTGTGTCGTCTGGAAGGGTCAAGGGAATTAAGAAAGCAGGGTCATCGTCGTTTGGGTTGTCGTCGTAAGTTTTGTAGTAGTAGCAGTAGTAAAGCCGCATTAGCAGTAGCAGGAGTAGTAGGAGCGGTACTCGTGCCAGTAGTAGCCGCAGTAGTAACTGCGAATATAGTGTCGGTTGATTTGTGCTGCAACTGTTTCAAACCTTTCTCAGCCACTCATAGTGCACCCACTGAAGCCCGTAACTGTAAGCGCAACATTCAGACCCCACAGTACATTCCGGCTAAACCCTCAACCCCTAAACCCCCGTAAACCTTTCTGCAGAGCTCAATACTCCAGACGTCGCAGGAGCTGCCTTTTCGCTCTCTTGGCCGTCCAGCAGAAACAGCTTGAGAAAGACCGAACTAAGCCTCAACGCCTAAAAGTTTAGCGAGTTTGGGAGGGACACAGAACCCCAAAAAGCCTACTATACTTGAAGGCTCATGGGACTTAGTAAGTCAGGTTATAAGTAGGTTATAACTAGGATAACCCCACTTAGGGGACTTATAACCCCAATTATAACCTACTTACTAAGTCCCATGATCCTCTAAGTAGGGGTCTGAATTACTAGTAGTCGTATCTTCCGAAACTCTAAACCAAGCCCCCTGTTGTAGTCTCCAGATTCCCTCCTCGGAATCCGGAAAAGCCCCGGAGTTTAGGAGCCTCTTACGTGCTCGCCACCCTCCCTGACTCATTGGGTTTAGGGTCTAGGGCCGCTCAGGGTCTGGGGAGCCACTCCCTGAGACGTCAAAACCCTTAGTGAAGAAGTGCCCGGGGGGCGAGTTGAGGGTTTAGGCTGGAAAGTGTGATGGGGTTGCGGCTTAGGAATCGTTAAGTCCAGGGATGTTGAGGTCCTTGAACGTATCATCTGGCTGGACCCGGCTTGCAGTTCTGGTATGGCAATCTCAACATGGCGCGGGTTCATGCCTAGTTTACGGTGATGATGGTGATTTTCTGTGTATATGCATGCCTGTATTTATGCATATATGTGTACCTACATATGCATATCATAAGTATATATATATATACGCACATGATGTATAAAGATCTGGTCATGCGTGCATAACCAGATACTTCTTTAATTCGGGTTCTTAGATACTGCTCGAATATATTTACGGGTTTACATTCGTGGACCCCGACCCCAAAGACCCCAGCTCGCATGGACTGCAGAGGTAGAAAGGTCCCTTTCTTGGATCGTGTTTCACGTATTTGCCAGTATACTTCTATTGAAAGCAGGCATGCTTACACAACGGAAGACCCTGCCAGTTCAATACCATATGTACCGAAGCCTGCCCGTTCGTCAACGAAACTCCTCCGGTCTTCTTATTTGTGGGTTGATCCCTATGAAGGCTCTACCTTAACCCCAAATAGCCTACCTTTCAATGGGGTTTACATAAAGAATTCATGCTAGGGATCTCTAAAACGGTAGGTTCCCTTAGGGCCAGGTAGGACGTGCAGGTATTCGGACTTCGCGCTTGAAGGATCCGCAAGTCTTTGGACTTTTTAGGCTTCCCTCTTTAGGCTTGTATTCTGTTCCCAGAGAGCCCATTTGTATTCTCTTCCCAGAGAGCCCAATGCCCCACAATTTTGGAATATGGCTTTACATATATAGGGCTTTATGTTATGATTTAAGCCACATTCCTTGATTAAGGGGTATTGGGCTCCCGGCGTTCTACTATAGTGGTTGTTCAAGGTTTGGCGGAAATCTCAACTCTTCGACCTAAGCCGTTTGGCTTCTCATTCACGCGCCTCCTGCGCATTGAAGCCAAGGGTTAGGATTCAGGGTACCGCAGCGGCAAAAGAAGCACAGAATGATCGATCCGCCCTAAAGTCTCGTGTGACCTTAAACCTAGGGCCCTAAAACCAAAGCAACCAGAGCCCTTCAAGCATGTTGCGGCACTCTCTCTTCTTACCTTTGGTTCGTAGGGAATGGAACAATGGCAGTAACAGTAGTTCCCTTTGTACCCCATTCCTCCATTCCCTACTATCCCAAGGTAAGTCTTCCGGTTTTGTACTTAAAGGATCATGGGACTTAGTAATTACGGTTACTAGTAAGGTAACTATACTTATAACCACAAGTAAGGCACTTTTAGGTACTTATAACCATATTTACTAAGTCCCATGATCCTCCAAGTAGTGAAATCTCCGAGCTGAACTGGAGCCGATGTCCGAGCCTTCTCCTGGCGGTGAATGGCCAGGTCCCACACCCGTTTTGTTTTGGAGGTTTCAGCTATAAATGGATTAGGAGTTTAGGGTTCAGAGAACTTTCAACTCAGGGTGGAGGGCTTTAGTACACATATGTATATATACTTTTTCATAAGTATGTATGTACACATACGATTTAGTTTTATGTAAAGCCGGTGCAACCTTTTTTTGCTGGCTTCTGGCTTCGCAAGTCTCTTGTATGGTCTTGGCAGAGGTCTGGTCTTTTGTAACATAGGGGCTTAAATCACAACCTCCAGTATGTCTTTGGACAGGGTTCGTAGCTATCGTTGCGTCTGAAGCCTCAGTCTCTCTTGCAGCGTTTTCGTAGACAAAAAGCACCTAAACACCTAAAGCTTGTTTTATGGTAACAACTGGTAATGCCATTTAAACATTGTTATGCATTGATTACAAGGTGTGAAGAAATTACAGGCCCTGATACTCAACTTAGATGCAACCCTAGAAATCTGCAAAAAGGCATTACACAACCGCATCACGCCCTGTAGCGCCCTATAGGCAACAGCCTTCTAGAAATATGCATAAAGCCTGTTTGAGAAAAGCAGCAAGTTCCCTCTGACCAGGCAGCCGCGGAAGTTGGCTCGCGAGCTGGCCGCCACTTGGTCGCCAGTAGCTTCTGCGAAAACAGGATGCGAGGTGTTCGTTTAGGGCTTTCAAGCAAAAGCATAAGCCTCACAATAGTTATGCAATATGAATACATCTACACACACACCCAGATAGAGACCTGGATATTGAGAAGAGGTTTCTTAACTTGTCCATGCAGAACTTCAGACAATACTGGTAGCATCATTAATGGATAGGGGTCCATAGTGTACCTGGTTCTTGACTTATATAAGTACCCAACATCGAGGACGATAAGGGACCATCAAGGCCTGATATCAGTGTTTAGCCCTCTACACTGGCCCGCAACTTCAAGGATTAGGGGACTTAATCTGTGTGGGCATAAGGAAGGTATGTACTTCTAACTCTACTTCCAAGTACTCGTGTAACCCTCCAAGAGCTAACCATGGCCACCTCTATGTGGCAGCAACCAACCGTAAAACAGCCCTGAACCTGAAACGCAAAACCCCTCTAACGAAAATCCCAAACCCCTGAATGCTCGACCCCGAAATCCTGGAGCCTCCCCTGATTATAATAGAAGCCAAAAAGTTGGAAACCCCATAGCCTCAATCCCTAAGAGTAAAGTATCGGAAATCCCAGCACGATTTGTCCTTAACTAGGTTTCCAACTTTTTGGGAGTTTACTGTAAACCATACCCTAAGAAACCCGAAACTATACCCTAAAAAAACCCTAAACCCTAAAATCCTAAACCCTAAAACCCCTTTTGGGGTTTACTGTAAGGCCACGACATCCGCCGAAGCTGCTCTCGCCATCTTCTGTCGCTCTGCCGCCGACTTCGACGACATTCACGCCACGGTGCGGGCTTAGGGCTTTGAGTCGCAGGGGTTGTTTAGGGCTTTAGGGTTCAGGGGTTTAGGGTTTAGGGTCTATAGTCTATACAGTTCAATTCAGTTAGGGCTTTAGGTGTTATAGGCGTTTAGGGTCCAGAGTTAAGGTTTTAGTGTCACTATAAGGCTTCTAGCAGGGTCCTGCGATAAGGCTTCGCGAAATTCAGGATGTAGAGTTCAGGGTCAAGGGATTTTGGTGGATTTGGCTTTGAGGCAGGTTCGGGGTGTGTGGAGCTGGAGTTCAGGGTGGCTTGGTCATTATTCATGGACCAGTCTAAACCCTAAACCACTAAACCCCTGACCCGAAACCCCCTGACCCTAAACCCAAATCCCTTTACCCCTAAACCCCTCACCCCAAACCCTAAACACCTAAACCCAAAACCCTAGGTCGCCGACATCACGGTAGGAGAGGCCGAGTTGTACATGAAGCCGAAGCAGGGCTTCGGGGTGGCCTTGGGGGATTCACGGCTTCGGGCTGCTGAGTCCTTTGCCTGGGCTTTACGGTTTTGGTTCCGGGTTTAGGCAATGGGAGCTTATGGCCTGGAGCTCAAGGGGTGGAGCCCCAACTTCTTCGGCCTCATATCAAAATGTTCAACCCTTCAATGATTCATCAACTAACTCCTTTCTCGACAACCGCAGCCTGAAAGAATGAATGTGATAAGCCCCAAGTCCAAAACTCAAAGTTTTGAGCTGCCAGGCCCGCAGTCGGCTTGACGTGAACTCATCAGTGTAGTTCTCTTCTTTCCATGTGGCTGCCGTTGTGTTTTTCGGACCGCCCCGACTTAGACAACTACTCATCAGGCTTGTCTGCGGCAAGTCGCTCTCTTCTGGCCAAGAGCCGCTCAGCTGGATCGAAGATGCGGGGTTCAGGTTCAGGGTGAGAGCCGCTCAGCTGGATCGAAGATGCGGGGTTCAGGTTCAGGGTGACCGGATGAGGGTTTAGTGCTTCGGTTGGGGATCTAGTTGCTAGCGGTTGGGGGTCAGGCTTCAAGGCTTCAGACCCTCAACTCTAAACGCCAAACTTCTGATGCCTAGTTTTGGATTGTATTTTGGATTTCAGTTTGGTAGCCGCTTTCACAGGTTTCGGTTGGGGATTCGTGGTTCGGTGGCGAGATCCTACGGCTTAAGTGCTCAGGGTTTCTTGTAGGGGCTTTAGGTTGGGGTGTGGGACGAATATAGAGGCCCAGATAAATACAAACACTATATCACAGGTATAGTATTATATACCCCAAGACCCTACCCTTCTGTGAGCCCTAAACCCTAGTGTAGCCTCAGAGGCCTAAACATTACAAAGGATCTGCTAGGCCTATGATAGGGCTAATCGGACCGATCTTGAACTCAAAGTCCTTGTCCAAAACTCCAACATTCGCTCGAGACCTACACGTAGTCATATCCGAATACATACATACATACATACATACATATATATATATATATATATATATAGATATGTATTCATTTATTCATTTCTGTATCACTTGGCTTCCATGGACTCGCCTAGCAACCAGAACCACAATCGACAAAGACCTACTCAGGTTTCCTCGTTGACAAGAAATGCACAGTCATAACCATGGGCTTCCTAAGAGGAGTGTCCATGCTTCAGGATGGAAGGGACCTTAAACTACAATATAGGACACCCACCATCACAAAATCCAAAAACAGGGACCCTAAACCCAAAACCCCTAAACCCACTAAAACCCCAAACTCCTAAACCCCCCTGTCGCCGTCTTCTGTAGCCCAAGCTCTGAGGTGCAGAAGGCAGAGGACGCGTTGCAACTCCAGGCGCCACTTCTTCGGGGCTTTGAGGGCTTTGGGGTGTATACGGTTTAATTTACATTCTGGGGTGTTTATCTTTCCTCAGGAAGCGTAGAAACAGAAGGTAGCCAGTGCTAACTATCCATCAGCCTTGAAGAGTACCCTTGAGCGCTCACTTCTGCACTGAACCAAGATGATGTGATGTGCAGGTACTGTTGCTGTCGCTGCTGCATTCGGTGATCAATGGCCATGCGAAGTCTCAAATCCTAAATCTGAAACAGATCCCTAGGGCTCCAGATACCTAAATAGTGGGTTATTAACCATATTCTATAAATCCCAATAACCTACTATTTAGGCAGCTGGAGGTTTAGGGGATTGCCTTCCAGAAACGACAGTCCCGAGAGTCCAGTCGCAGTCGTGAGGGTGATGCTGCTAATTATTGGTTGGCAGCGGGGCCTAACTTGGCCTTAGGGGTACTTAGAACTAATTCTTATTTTCGGTTAGTATAATCCCTAAGAAGCAGCTAAAATTATATTTTTCGCTAGGGTTCCAAGTTCATGGCGTTGGGGCTGCCAAGATCGACGAGTGCGGGTTAGCAAGGGGTGCCTGCAACGGGGGATGCTAGCCATAAATACCCGAGTTTGTATGTGCAACGTAAGTTTTTTCAAAGCCCCTGAAGGTGGAAGAACCCTGAACCCGAAACCCTATCAAGGAAATGAGCCCTTACACATGTGTATATGTATGCATGTACGCATGTATGTGTGTATGTATGTGCATATAGATATATACACATACATATTTGTATACATTTATTATGCAATCGTAGGTATAATATATTATTATACGTATACGTACAGTATATGTACATGTATGTACACATATATACATATGTACAAACCTATGAGGGCTCGTAAAGCCTTTCTTTGCTCAAATACAGCCCTTGTACCGCCATAAAGAGCCCTGATTATGAATGCTCATAAGCACCTATATCCCTACACACCCTAGAAACCCGGTATCTCAGTATGACACTTCTAGTACCCAGCACCCAGAAACCTGCTAGACAGTAGGTCGCAATTTTGGACAGCACATTGTTCTGGAGCTAGGACCCTACCCTAAACCCTGAACCCAGGGTTAGGAGTGTCTCGAAGGAGCTGCTCCATCGCCTGCGCCAGCGCGCCCCATCTTTGGATGTCGAGGCTACAGCCACTCGGCTTGCTCCCCCTTTTTGAGGCTGGGATTTGCGTGTACGGTTTTCTATGCTTCTATAACTTGCCTTAAAATGGTGGGGCTTCATCGGGGTGTATGGTTCTATGACTTGTTTTATTTTGGGACTTCACGTGGGGTCTGATGTTATGAGGTTGGATGGGGTTTGTTAATTCGATCCGGGTTCCATAAATAATTTGCTTGCAGGGTTGCACAGGAGTCTAATCATGCTCCCCAATGTATTTGCTTTTTCGGCTAATCACAAAGTAGTCAAAGAAAGACTGCGTTGGAAGCAATTAGGTAAACAACAAGCCTTGAGCTCCCACTTACACTCCGCAAGATTCCAATTGGGTTGGCACGCCCATCAGTGAATGATGTTCGGGTTGGTCTGTTGGGATTTGGATGCCCCGCCGGTTCAGGAAGCCGAGTGGCGAAGGAGCACACCATACCGACTACCTGAACAAGTTTGAGTAACCTACTCCCGATAAGATATACCCAAAGCTTCTAAAAATCAAAAATCAGAGCCACTCACAAGTCCCAGTTCCACTTGGAAGTTCGCATATGGTAAGTTGTGCTACAACCATAGTCCCTAAGCCCTGGGCTCCTAAACCCTAAAGCGTTAGGTTATCAATGCGTGGTCGCTGGCCAAGTTACAGGAGGCTCGTCAGGGTCGGAGCGACTTCCTGCTTTGGTGGAACCTCCCTTCACGGAACTTTGCACGGCGATGTAGGATGTCAGCAATATTTTTGACAGGTTGTTAGGAATGCAAGTTAGGGAGTTTTTCGGGAGGAGTTTCTGTTGGGTTCAAGAGTTTTTTCGACGAGCCAGGAGCTTCCTGATGCTTTCTCTTAGATAGGTGTCCCGTTTAAGGATTGTGTTTCAGGGTTCAGAGTTTTGCAGAAGACCTGGAATGTGGGTTTTGGTGTTTTCCAGCTCGATCGGCTGCAGTTTGGAAAGATTTTGTTAGTTTTGATGTGGCTTTGGATTTTTTGGGGGTTTGTAACCACAACTCAAACCCCAAGCCCCACATCTCTGTTCATCCCTCACCACGGCCTAAACCAACAGAATTGAAACCCTAGCCCCAGGTAACCAGCCTTAGTACGAACGGACAAAGCGAACAAAGCAATCCCAAACTCGAACCCCAAACTCTAGACCAAAACTCGAACCCCAAACTCTAGACCAAAGAGATCCGAAGGTCGTAGACTCAGACCAGAAGCTATCGACCTAGAAACTGCCAGCTCCACTCCCAAACCCTGACCAAAAAAAATGATAAACATGAGACCCAAGCTTGAAAACGAAAGCTCAAAAACCGAGCCACATAGCCTGAACCCAAAAAATTGGCCCACCCTACTCCAGCCACATACCCTAACCGCAAGGCCTTTCTCAACACAGACTGCCAAGACCAACCAAAAACCTAGATATTCAATCCCATGACAATTGCAAGAATCCGAACAAACTGAACAAGCTATATGAGCACGCTATACGACCATACGACTATACGAAACTCTACAAGTATAGATTTCGAGGCGCAGACTGCGATCCCCGAGGGCTTCCAGGAGGCTCTTTGCTCTGCCGTGGAGAGGCGGAGGTGGCCCACTGCAACTACCGAAAATTAGGGTTTGGGGGTTTAAGGTTTAGGGGTTTAGGGTTTAGGGAACTACCCTAAGCGTCCAAGTACCCAAATGGGAGTTTCCGAAAATTCGGGATACCTTATTATTTTGGAGTCCTTACAAATAAGTAATTGGGGCCCCCTTCGTTCGCAAAAGTTCCACATTTAAGGGTACCATAAGGGTTCTATAAATAAAATGAGGAATCTAGAGGGTTTAGGGTTTAAGGGTCCATGTACCCAAATAGTATATACTTCGGCCTTCAAGTAGTCCCTATACAGGTACATTGAGACCAATGTATCTACTATTTGGGTACATGGACCCTTAAGGGTACCTTACACCTGAAGTTTCGTCGTTTTCCTCGGTTAAGAGGATTCGAACACCTGAAGTTTCGCACTTTTCCTTGCTGAAGAGGAAATGACTCCAGTTTCTAAGAAGGTGCATGGTTTGTTGATCAGGGTTTTGGAGGGTTCCTGTAGGGCTTTGTTGGGGTCTATAGGTTGTTTTACGTGGTTATCATGGGGTGTGGTTTGCTATTGCTGGTGTTTCATACTCCTGCAAAGTATCTGCATAGTATTCAGTAGGAAGTGCTTTTATCTGCTATCACGGCTTGGGCAGAGAGAGACACAGTGTCAGTTTAACATACAGGATGCTCAGGAATCGTTGGGGCCTGAGGGTACCATGGTGTTAAGGTTTTATGCGGTGCACGGGATGTTGGCGACTTGAATGTTGGAAGCCCTAAAGGAATTAAGTCCTTAAGGCTTTCGGGCTTGAAGTTCGGATGATTTTGTTCTCAGGCTTGCGGGGACCGGTAACCCCAACTGAAACCTGCACATGAAGCCTGCTCCGACAAGTACTGCGGAACGCTGATTTCCCAAACCTCCTTTGTCTAAGGGCTCTAGCCCTAAGCCCAGAGCCTGGAAAATGAGTGGTGCCATTCCTTCGGAGTCCTCATTACAAGAGTAACATCGCGCCACGCCAAGCTCTACTCTAATCATTAAGGCCTAAACCCTAAACATCGAACCCCACACCCTAAATCCTAACCCCAAAATGTGATAAATCATCCTAAATCCTAAGCTGTTTGCAGGTCGGAGTTCAGTGGCCGACATTTGGCCACGGTCCTCTGGGCCTTTGCGAAATCCCCGGCTGGGAGATTGGACACAGCTCCTCGGATTGCTTCAGGGTTTGGGGTGTAGGGTTTAGGGTTCAGGGTTTAGGTTTATGTTTGGGGCTTGGGGTTTCAGGTGCAAGATACGAAATTGTTCAATGTTAGAGATTTGGGTGTAAGAGTGTAAGATTCGGGGCTCAGGGGTTGGGGTGCAAAGGTTTGGGGTGGTAGACCAGCCCGTGAACCTTAAGCGCTTTGAAGTGAGTGGCTGAATACATGTCTAGTGCAAGCGGCAGCGCAAGTCTTATTCATCCTGCATCTAGGATTCAACGAAGTGCAAAAGCTGCTGGCAACACCAGCACCAGCACCACCCCTCATGCAACTCCAGGAAATCAAAGAAGGCCCCTTGTGGCTGGAAGCAGGTCGAGCAGGGAAGGTCCCACAGACTTTACTACGGGGTAGCTAGGGTCCGATTGAGAGCAGTTGCAGGGTCGACGGAGACCCGATGCCTTCACCCAAGCCCCAGCCCTACTATGGGGGCCTACATGATTACCTATACTACTGTGGGTGTTCCATATTATAGTTTCAGTAAAATGGGCCCCGAAACCCCATTCTATTCATGAAGGCCCCTATAATATCCTAAATCGCCCTCGTCAACCCCAAACCCTCGCTTTCTCCTCCACCTGTTCTTGTGAGCCCGCGCGCTTTGGGTGGAATCGTCAGCGCAGGGTTTGTAGGGTTTACCGATAAGCGGTATCTGTCCAGGGAAGTTCGGGTTTACTAGTTCTGGGTTAATTACTGGTTTGCCTGTGTTTTGATATTTACTCCGTTTCTGTTCAAGTGTTTGTCTGTATTGTTCATAACTACACATAGTGACGGTGGTGTACGAACATGGGTATGCAACAAAAGGTACATTGTATAATGCAAAAAACAAATACACACGCACTTCGTCTGAGGCGGCTTGAATGCCAGACCATCTACAGAAGGAGCCCTACCGCTAACCTTAAAAACTCGAGGCGATCAGCCCCACATGGCAGAATCCACAAGTGTGCAGGTGGCGTCACTGGCGACAGAGGTTCCACGTCTCCTGCCGGTGCCTGTTCGTGAATTTCGCAGCAGCCAAGGGGTTTCAGGGTTATGGGTTTCGAGCGTGGTGAATTTGGATTCCTTATCTGCTGTAGGGCTTATCCATTTTGTTGCTTCCTCAGTTGCTCTCCGACCTGTAAAGTCTTGCGTCTTGGGACACTCTAGTACAAAATAGCCCTAAGCCCTAAACCCTAAACTCCCCAAACGCCCTAAACCCCCTAAACCCTTAACCCTAAGCCGCAAAGTCTAGTCTAGCATAGTTCAGTATGGTATGAGCATTTCTGTCTGCCTCAGGTGTCTGGCCTGCCTGGCGCTTGCTCTGGTTATATCGGCTTTAGCCAAGGCCCCCAGAGGTCCCCTTTTGCCCTGTAATTCTGCTCTGTCCTCAATGACATTGAATAATCGGATAACAGGTATCCGTCATATCTTGGGGAAGTTACAGTAAACTCCATAAAGTTGGAAACCGGATTAAGGCCAAATAGAGCTGGGATTCCCTATACATTACTCTTGAGGATTGAGGCTACTGGGTTCCCAACTTTTGGGCTTCTACTATACACCCCTATAACTAAAAACCCCCATAAACCCTAAAGATCCCTTAAAGGAGCCCCTATAGATCCCCATGCGGGTAGCTTAAGATAACAGAAGAGTACCGGAGGTTCCTGTCATGCACCCAGGGCCTCCCACGAGAGCGCATGGACCCGACACCCCCGGAAGCTTTGCCCTCGAAAGCCTGAGCCCGAAGGGGCTCCCAGAGCCTCAAAACCCGAAACCCCGAGCCTTCAAACTATAAGCCCCAAAACCGTAAACCCGAAACCTTAAAGTTCTGAGCCTCAAAGCATTAAACCCTGAACCTTAAAACCAAAAGCCTCGAAGGCCAAAGCTGTGAAGTCTGAGGACATGTCTGCGCAGGGCCTCGCAAACTGCTTCTTTGCCCTGGCCAGCCATGGGCCCTGGGTGCTCGGGGGGGGGGGGCTCTCCCTAGGGTTGAGGGTTTAGGGTCCTGGGCTTTGGGGTTTCGGGCCTTCCGGTTTAGGCTTTAAAAGAGGCTTTTGAGTTGAGGGTCTGGGTAGCTGAAAATGGCTCTATGTACCACCGGATATGAACTAGGACCTAGAGTACACCCTTGTTCCCTGATTTTAGGGTTCAGGTTCCCTTAGAAGCCCCTTTAACCCAAAAACGGCACCCTTTTTATTCCTAGGTTTCTCCTAGGTCTAGAGAATGGTTCTCAGACGGGGTGGGTAGATCCTACGTGATGATTTCGCCCTATGCAGAGGGAAATGTCGTGTGGTTCATTTTAGGACCGGGTACAAGTGGACCCTAAGTAATTGGAATGTGGGTTAAATTATACTGATACTGTTCTGGATACAAGCAGAAAGACGATGTCATGTCGAAGTATTCAGACTTCAGAGATGAGTTTACAGGAACTCAAATTGCCACAACCTCCTTTGTTTGGTGGGGTCATGGTATGAAGCCTACACTGAATTTGTAAGTGCTGAGATTGATAATTCACATTCGGCAACTCAAGGCACTGCGTCCTTCCGCAGCCGCTATTGGCTCGCAATTTTGTCCTTTGGATTCGATTGGAGTGCTTACAACTGGAAACACAGCAGAGATGGCAGCTGTGATCTCGACACTTGTCTAACTATTACTTGGATGTTCATGGCTATAGTAATAAGTGGGGATGTAAGTAGGGTAACTATACCTATAACCCATATCAGGGGCCTTATAACCTCAAATATAACTACCCATGAACCTCGAAGGAGGGACCCTGTAGCCCTCACAAACCAAAGCGAACGAAGGAGCAGCCTTGTCGTTTCCAGGGTCTTTGGCCTTGAGCCTTGGGTTTAGGGTTTTGGGTTTAGGGTTTTGGGTTTAGGGTTTTTGGGGTGCTGGGTTGCATTCAGCGGCCCGCCATAAGGGGCCCGAAGAATACGTAGTAGTCTTCCTGTGTGGCACTTTCGGCAGCATTTGAGTTTCCCTTACTACTTCCAGCGGTTCGGTGGAGGCACCGTTTCATGAACAATCTTCTTACCTTTGGTTAGTAGGGAATGGAAGAATGGTAGTAATAGTAGTTATAATTGCACCCCATTTCTCCATTCCCTACTAACCAAAGTAAGTCTTAGGGACACCGATTCAAGCATGGCCCGTGATCGATGCCCTGGTTGAAAATTAAAGGGCTCAGCGGCTCAACTCTATTTCTTAAAGTTCAAGAAAGTTTGCTTCGTTATAGTACAATGATCTCGGTCACGTTTGGTAATGCTTCCTGATTGGGTTTTAGCTACTGTACAGATAGGGGCCTCCGGCGACATAGTTTTCTTACATTTTGCTTAAGCAGAGTGGAGATAATATGGGTGTTATCCCTAAGCCCTAAACCCTCAACTCTGAACACTAGATTACGTGTTAGCGCTCCAGCCTCGGTTGTCCATGTCGAACAGCCGACCATTCTGGGCTCTATATTATATGTAGGAGTTTGGGAGTAAGGGTTTAGCATGCATAGGTATAGGTTTCAGACTATAGGGTTTCAGACTTTAGGGTTTAAGAATTAGAGATTACGCATACGATTTGTCGGATTGTTCAATTCGTAGGTTTTAGGATTCAGGGTTGTCTCAATTCTTGGGAAGCCTGCTTCATGGCAGTGCCTCCCGTCATTGAGGAGACCGTGGAAGACCCTCCCATCAATGAGGAGACCACGGACGCCAGCTCATCAATCCCCAAAGTTGAAAAGAAGCGAAAGATGATGGAGGCGAAGATCGGTGTAAAGCTCTGCGAGACAAAGCCACTGCCGACAAGGGAGGGACGCGCCAACCAAGATGACAAATCGTGTGTTGATTCATTCATTTGAGCCTTTCGTTATAGGGCTTCGTAGTGCGTAAGGCCCAGAACAGGTGGTATGGCGCTTACAGCGGGGTTCCGCGTTCCGTGGGTTGCCCTCACCCCCGTAGAGGAACCTCGCATAAGCCATAAGCTCGGGCTTGGGTTCCTTTTCTAGAGGACCTCCCCACAGGCCCGCATGAGATCAGTGTAGTTTGCAGTTTTGTTGAAAGGGATCTCTTGCTTTCAGAATCTCCGTTCTTCTAGTTGTTATTGGTAGGCGGGAACAGATGTATTGGTTGACGTGGCCGTTGCACTTCCTACCGACGTCCGACGGCGTTCTCAAGGCGAAGAGACTCCATAATATCGAGTGGAAGACTTTCAACTTTGTTGGGCCTCGATGACGGCGGGTTGTCCTGTTTGAGCAGTGGACCGCCGCAAAAGCGCACTCTTTTGCCCCATAACTGCAGATTGTTGTTTGATTTTGGTGCTGTTGCCTGCAAAGTCTGCAAAGTGTGCATCTAAGGGAGTTCAAGAACGGCTATGCTCAGGACAGCCCAACGCACCTGGGACTGTTTCGGGGTTTCTGGCTAAGGGTTTTTGGGTTCGGATTTCGTTTCGGATATGCGAGTTTCCGAAAATAGGGGACCCTAATATACTTACTAGTAGGATCCTTTATTATAAGGACCCCAAGTTAAGGTACCCCTAATTTTCGGAAACTCCCATAATATGGGATGTGCGGGTTAAGGTTTAGGACTTAGGGCCGGCGGGTTTGGCTGATGTCTTTCCCAGTTGCTCAGCTTTTGTGTCCCAAATTCCCTGCGATTTCGTAGACCCTAAAAACCCTAAACCCAAAGCCCTAAACCATATCAGCCATAGACGAAGTGATAAGCTGGACATTCGTGTTGTTCGCCGCAGAGGCCAAACAGCTACATGTTACACCCTAAACCCTCAAGGGCCTAAACCCTAAACCGTAGCACGTCTCCTTCCAAAGTGAAGGTCCCCAAGCAAGAGTTGCGGCTGCCATTGCTGGGATTCTAGGATGCTCTAGGATACTCGGATTCTAGGTGTTTAGGGGGCTAGGATCGGTAATTCTGGCATGTGGGGCTTTGAATGAGGCCGGCATGACTGTCCACTACGGGGTTAACGTTCTTACAAGACTGTATATCGGTATATACTATCTATATATATATATATGTATGTGTGTAGTGGCTTTGAGGCTTGGGCCGGTAGTTGAGGATTATACAGTTACAAGATGTTACAAGGGTTCCCTAGCCACGAGGTTCAAGGTCTCGAGAATCAGAAACATCCACAACGTCTCGAGACGCCAACATTCTGGAACCTTACACCGTGGTATGATTTCTGTGTTTGTGTATCTACAGGGCATCCTTCGTCAAGGTATGTTGTGAAGCCCCTGCTGTGCTTGAAGCCAACATTGAACCTTCGGCCGGAAACAGTAGACTCCCAAACCAGAAAATCGAATGACATCTTGGTAGGAGATAGTAGTCAGGTGCGCCACCGATGTGGACACCGAGAGCACCGGGGCGAGCTCTTCTGAGGACGGGACGGCTCCTTGCCCGCAAGGACCTTCAGGGCGCTGAACCCCTATGCCCGGAACCCTGGAATACCACACACACCTAACCCGAAGCCCGAATCCCAGGTCACTAACTCCCAAACGCTAAACCGTAAAACACCCACAGTAAAGCCGTAAAGGCCTAAATCTGTAACCGTAAAGCTTGTTCGGTTTTACATGAGGCCCTCAACCCTGCAGCCGGAGCCCTTTCTGTTGAGGCTTTTGAGGTTTACTCCTTTAAAGTCGTGTCCCAGCTTCAAGCCCGCAAGAGAAGAACCCTAGAGGACCACTCAAAACTCAAAACAGGCAAACTACCCTAAAGCTCCAGCCCTGTCCGGTTGAGCATGTTCTGTGACTACCTAGAATCCCCCACGGCCCTCTGCCACTAGCCCTGACGACACGCTATTGACGACCATAAGCGCCCCTTCAAAGTACACCCTGGGCTGGGTTGTCCTGGCAGGGCTTGGGCTTGGGTAATTGCAATCCCCCGTCCCAAAGCCCTGGCAGGGCCTGGGTAATCACAAAGCCCCAACTGCATAAATGCCATTCCCCTTAGGGTGTCAGGCCTACCTGGGTTCTTGCGAAGTCCGAATGTAATCAAGTTTGAACTACATGATGAGGCCAGGGTGGGGTTAGACCTCAACCATCAAGGAGTGCCTGTCAGTCGAAGCGCTGCATTCCGGGAGCACCCCTACAACTCGCACGACCCACCTCAGAGTCCAAAACGAGAAACCTGGCTCCAGCTACGTGAGAAGGAAGACATGCTAGTTACGATGCATCCCTGGGATGGTAACTTGATGAACCGCCTGGACTACTTGGCACGACTTTTCAATAGAAGCTTTCCAAAAAGTTATTTCAAGCATCCTGTAGAAGCTCATACACACCCTTGCACAGCCCAAAGTCAGAAGCTCTGGGATCAGGTCAAGGGCCGCCTTGTCGAAGTCCCCAAGAAGATCGGGATGCGCAACGTGCAGCTCATCATGGACGAGGACTCTCTGGGTTTCATATGGATTATATGGACGGTTTTTTTTCAGGATGTCAGACGAAAGGCCAGGAAAAAGATTTGTGCATGGGTTCGGGAGTGAGATGGTTCTATGAGGGTTCTGAAGCATGCTGGCAGCCGTGAAATGGGAAGCATGTTGCAGAATGGCCACTCGTGAAAGGTTGTTTGCCCAGCCGGAACCGTGTAATTGCAGCTACTGAATGAGTAGTAATCGTACCCCCGTATAGTCTCTAGAGCAAATCGCCGCTGTTGAAAAACACATCTACTGCAAGGCCTTACGCCGATTCTTTAGTCCCTATAATTCTGAGTCCAGCGACGCAAAAGCAATGTGATTCGACAGCAACCGTGCCTTAGTAGTACATACCACTTATGCTCAAAATCTTGAAATACCTCCAACAACGTACATATCTCTTGTCGAGCTTTCCCTTTCTCCACAATCCGTAGTTTCAACGTTGCATCCCCGTGGCATCATGCAGATTCTTTGTAGCCCCTGCATCAGTGCAATATTAAGATGAGAGGTAGCGGGGGATCGTGTGGAGATTCAATAAATTACTCTACTCTATTCTACTACTACTACTACTACTACTACTACTACTACTACTACTACTACTACTACTACTACTACTACTACTACTACTACTACTACTACTACTACTAGCAGAAGGGAATGGAATTTGGTGTGATACAGGATTTGGGGCATCGAGCGTAGGGCCCGACAACACCTTCTCTGGAGCCTAGGTGGGTTTACTGTACCCAAAGGCCCCAAAGTAGTTCCTTTTGAGGGTTCATATATGGGAGTTTCCGAAAATAGGGGACCCTAATACAGTACCTTAAATAGTATGATCCTTATTATAAGGACCCCAAAATAAGGTACCCCTAATTCTCGGAAACTCCCATATAGAATCCTATCAGACAATCCCAAATTAAAAAGGAACTACTTTGGGGCCTCTGGGTAAGGCCTACTGCGTCTAACAACTCCAAACCAAGACGAGGAGAGTGCGGAACCTGAACGTCCAAACCCACATTGTTGGGATTTGAGAACTAAGGTTCTATAATGGGGAACCTTTTTGGGGTTCCTTTAAGGGTTCCTTGAAGCCTTAGGGCACTATGGGGTTCCATAATAGGGTTCCCTTTAAAACTAGCTTGAAGGTTTCAGGGTCTAGGGTTCCGGTCTCCTGACCGTCGGTAAGACACCAGCAACCCATATAAATGTCTGGACCCTACCCATAGGCCCCAAAGTAGTTCCTTTTGGGGATTACCTTATAGGATTCTATATACGAACCTCAAAAAAGAACCGGGTAAACTCCACACCTGGCGACACCACAGACCCTACGAACCGGAGCAAAGCCATTAACAAACCCAGCCAACACCCCTTGCCCGGATTCCCCCACAATTAGGGGTACCATATTCTGGGGTCCTTATGATAAGGATGCTACTATTCCTTGCCGCACCTTGAACCCCTTGTCGGTTCTTTGACAGGACATGTTGAACCGCTACCAAGCCAAGAAGGACTGCAGAACACCCCATCTCCTCGCATCGCAAATGGGGGCACTCCACTTGTGTTGGCTTTCAGGTGTGATGTTTAGGGTTCAGGCTTGCTAGTTTGCAGAGTTTTGTAGCCCTAGACCCTGAAGACGAACGGCTTTCAAGGGGGGGGATATGGGTACAGTGATTTGAGATCTACGCTGTCTTAGAGCCGGAGATTTAGCGGAATGCCGTTTCCACAAAGCAGACTCAGGAAGCCGCGGGAAGCCCAGTTGCTTCGGATTTCAGGGTGCAGGGTGCCTCTGGACCATGTAAGCACCGGATATGTTCCATCAACATCAGCAACTGCTCCGGGCTGCCAAAGATCTAAGCGTTGTCTACGTCCCCGGTAATTCGCCCAAGTATAAAATGGGGTTCCTTCTTCCTAATGGCAAGCCGAAGCGCCAAACGCTTTAGGCGTATTCCTAAATTCCCAGTTTTCAGTGTTGCATGGGAACTGGTGGGGAAGGAAGCCTGCAACTTCCTGCTGAAGTGCGAAACCTGGTTCGCCGAATACCTTGGAATGAGCCTCTCCCGTTCGATGGGTTCTTGGGTTTTGGGCCAACGGTAACTTGAATTTGGTCCCTCCTTTGATGTTAAGAGGGTCCTGTTCAGGGTTCTTGGAGCTGCTGATTGGCTTAGAAGCTGAGTAGGCAACCTTTTAATCTTTTTTGGGTAGTATAGCCCCTATATAATCCCTATATAGCCAAAAAGGTTAACCTTTAGTAGTTACCCATGAGACCGGACAAGTAGGTTGGGAAGAGTTTGTTTAGAGCTGTTCAAGGGCTCTTGACGTCAACTTGTTGGGTTTCGAGGGTCTCTTGAGGGCAAACCCTTTACGGCGGCATGAACCCTTAAAATGAGAGTCAGATGGATCCAAGAAGTATACACAGCAACACAAAAGCCTGCCTCTACAATAGAGTATAAGACGAGCCCAGGAAGTAACCCCATAGCATACACTGCTACAAGCCAGCTCAAAAGCGCAAGAAAGACGGGAGTCTAGGAAGTATGGCCCTAAACCCCTAAACCCCCCAAACCCTAAACTCCTAAACCCCTAAACCCCTTGAACCCGTGAGCCTAGGAAGTATGCCCTGTCGCTTAACAGCGGCGGCATTGCCATCAGCCTGGGCCTTGAAGCGATGAAGCGAGCTCCTGGGTCGCCAGAGAGGAGGGTTAAGGGTATAGGATTTCGGGTTTAGGGTATACGGGTCCAGGATTTAGGGTTTAGGATTTAGGGTTTAGGGTTTAGGGTTTGTTGCATTGGTCGGGGTGTTTTTTGTGTTGTTTGTGCTTTGGTGGTCTTTTGTCCCCCCTCGTTTCGAGTTTCGATAGAGGATTGCGGGGTGCAAGGGGGGGTTCAAGCGCAGGGTTGAGGGTAACATAGGATTTTGTTGGGGGGATTTGGGTTCAGGGTCGTCGTGTGTTTTTGAGGGGAGGTTGTACAGGGGTCGAATCATTCGTCGTAGTATTCACATGCAGTCCTTGGTCTTCCGGGACGTGGCTTTGGCACGGTCAGTGCTTTATTGGGAGGAACTGGAGTTTCAGTATGAACTGTTTTCAAACATATTCGCATGACCTAGGTGTCTGACAGATAGTGTTCAACCGAAGAACGCGACCCGGAAAGCAAAAGCACCGGCAACAAGCATCTCCTGAAGTCCCCTAAACCATTGAGCTGCTGTCAGGTCCTCTTCCCTGATGACACTGTTGCGGCCCGGCGAAAGGGAAGAAGCAACAAACAGTTTCACGGGAAGCTTTTGTAAAGGTTCACCGAGACCAGAATGCCTTCAATCCGGGTTAAGGGGATGGGTGGTATGGGAGTTCAGGTGCTTCGGGATTTAGGGGCTTCATGTCGAGGGTACTCCTGAGAGAAGCTGAAACTAGGGCCGTCATTATAGAACCCTATAAGTGCCCTTAAAGGGAACCCTATTACAGAGCCCTATATAGTATCCTTAAAGCCCCGGAAATGTCCGGCAAGACTTTCGATGATGGCGGCCTCAGCACCTCAAGGCTTCAAGAACGTGCTACTCTGGTCTTGTATGTATAATATATTATAAGTATATAAACAAATGAATAAATACATCTTAGAAGGAAAGTCTGAGGAGCCGTTACCTCGAAGTTCCATCAGGGTTGAGGATTTCGGGGTTCAGGTGTCTACGGTTTGTCGGTTCACGCTTTAGGGGTTATAGTGCATTAGGATTTCGATCTGGTGGCTGCAGGTGTTCTATGTTTAGGGCTTTTTTGGGGTTTTTAGGTTTAGGATTACTAAGCCTGAACCGAGAAAGCGTGTCGGACGGGAGGTGTTGCGCTCCCGCAGTTCGCTGTAGGGTTTGGTGCAATCCGGAGTGCATGAATATAATAGTAGTAGCCGTCGTCGTAGTAGTAGTAGTAGTAGTCGTAGTCGTAGTCGTAGTCGTAGCCGCAGTAGTTAGTAGTAGTAAGAGAGACTGGAGGCTCTGCGCCTAAAGTCACCTCTAACCGCTATTGCGCCAACCTTAGCCTAAGCAGGAACAGATTCGCGTGTACTCCAACGCCTTCACCTTCAACGCTGTCCCCTCTGCCTGTCTGGTGGCAGGATTCGGCAGCCAGATTGCTATGTTTAGGGTGTCATGTCCAGGAGTTCGAGGGTTGAAGCTTTTTGTCTTCGGGGTGGCGGATAACTGTGGTAAGACTTTGGGTTTTGCCGGGGAGCGTGATAGCAGTAGGAGAAGCAGATATATAGTTTAAAGAGCAGTGGTGATGGAACGACCTAACCCTAAACCATCCTGAACGCTACAGCCTGAGACGACAATGTGCCTTTGAGAGGCAGCCGTGAACAAACGGCAATGGCATCTTCAGCAGTGAATGGGTACGTACACAGATACCACCAGGGTTTATTTAGGAACTCAGTGAGTGTCTATGGGGCATAGGAATGCTGGTGAGTGTACATGTTGGGTGTCATGTATAGGAATGCCAATGCTTGTAGTAAATAAGGAAATATAAGGACCATACTTCATAAAGGCGATAAGCTTCAGGATTCATGGTTTCAAGACCCGTCCAGGAGCACCCCGCAGGTGAGCCGAGCATGTCGTTGGGAGTCTTAGAGTTTTAGGCTTTTAGGGTCTTCAAAACCGTGCGTTAGGTTTGGGCTCCGTGGTTGGGGGTTGGGCAGTCCGGGGAGATCAAAGCAGAAGAGCAAGTGTAAAGCCCTGACTCCTTCTCTTTCGGGAGGGAAGAAAATGGGGGTCGTGCCAATCCCTCGATATGGGCCCTGGTGGAAGCGTGGTTATTGATGAAGGGGGCTGTAACCCTAAACCCTCAATTATTCAGGCTTCAAGGAGCTACCTGTCAGAGTTTCGGGTTAAGTTCAGGGGCTCATAGGGTTCATTTTAGTTCAGGGTTTATTTAGGGTGCCCTAGGTTCGGCATTGGATGTTGGGATTCTGTGCCGACCTCAGGCAAGACGTTGAAGCTGACGCTCGGCAATGTCCTTGAAGTGTGCCATCACGTCATTCCTGTAGCTTGAGGGTTTGGGTTCAGGGTCTTAGGATGTGGAGTTCCTGTAGGTCTAGGCTTAGGGATTGTGGGGACTAGGACCTAGCGCATGGGGGGGGGGGGTTGTGGTTCGCTTGCACTGTTGAGTTGCGACTTTGGGGGATGAGGTCTGGGGTTCGAATTCTCAGAACTCGCGACTGCATTGCGTAAATGCCCGCCTCATGACTGTCGCAAGAACCCTTATTAGTGCTTTTATGAGAGGAAAGAGTACCCGCCTGTAACCTTTGCAGCTTTTCTATTTCCACAATGAACCACAGCCAAGAAATTGTGAACCTGAACTTGGATCAGGGAACATACCCCAAAGAATCTGGTCAAAAAGATATTCTTGTCCCGGCGCCCACAGCAGCTTGTGTTCCCCCCAGACTTCATGTAGGGTTTATAAGGTTCAGAGCTTAGGGTTCAATTTTTGCTTCTCGAAAAGCGTTATACAAGACTGTTAGGAAGGGTTTCAGGCTTGCTAGTTCCCCAGAAGCCAACCTTTATACTTAATTACTATTGCTTTCTTATGGTGGAATGCTATTCTGAAAGTCTGTGCTGTTGTTTCCCTGGGTTTGTGTCGAGCAGAACCGACAAGCAAATCAGAATAGCTATGTTGGGGGTATGATGTGGCCTGGAAACTCATCGTGATGGGACGTGGAATACATCCGGTTTTCTGAGGCCCACCTTCAGGTACACGATGCCGCCCAAACCTATATCCCGAAACCTCTATAAACGCAAAGCCCGAGGATTGAAGCGACATCGGAGCTGGTGATTGACTTGGACCACCTCGAGAAATGCATTCAGGAGCCGAAAGGTTCCCTACTGTAGGGGCCTTAATAATTACCTATACTGTTGTGGGGGTTCCTTATTATAATTGTAGTATAATGGGCCCCAAAACCCTATTCTAATTATTAAGTCCCCTATATTACATTCGAGGGTCTCAGATTTAGTTTGGGATTCAGGCTGCAGCGCTTAGGATGTAGGGTTCGCCTGATTGCCTCACTGCTAGGATCGCTACATGTAGAAAGGACCCGAAAGACCTTGCAGACTGAAACACTTCGCATGGATTGTTGCAGCCTACTTGCAGGCAATCCTTGCCCTTGTAGTTCACAAGTACGATCCCGATGTCTACTCGCAGTTAAGCTTTCTGCTCCTGCTGCCACGCCATGGCGATGTCGCCTAATACGACCTTTTACGATACCAGTCCTGCTTAGTGGGTGGACTTTAAGCAGGTGGGGGTGGCATTGGCCAGATAGTCTCGCCAACGATCCTTACAACCCTGATGATAGGCAGCTTGCTTAGCCCTGCACGCAGCGTCTTGTTGCTCGTGTTCGCGAAAATAGAGACTGTTGTCTATCATCATGGTCGGTGCTTATTGCTTATCGGGTGGGCACGCATACTGTAGAGCTCTGATGAGCATGTAACGGTCCACCGCTGAAACGCATTCAACAAACTAGAGACTCTGAATACGTCATGCGCCCACCGCATCATCCGAAGCTCGCACCAGATCACAGCCGTGCCTGTCTAAGGCTTAAGCCTTAAACCCAGAAGCCCCGGGCTCCCCCTAGGCCCTAAGCTCGAAAAACTCCCAACGACTATTGCGGTTTAGGGTTTTAGGGTGCGGGGCTTTAGGGTTTTCGAGTTTATAGGGTTTAGGGTTTAGCTTCGCCGGAGGACGACTTGAAGTCTGGAAAGTTCGCCCCTGGCAAGATGATCCTGGTTCTCTCGCCGCTGGGATTCGGGCATTCCATAGCTGTTCTCCGCTGGGGCGATAAAGTCCCTGTCGAGTTAAGGGTTCTCTGTCGGTTCTATAAGGTGTCTAAAAGGGTTCAAGCAAAGAATGTTGCACTGAGTGTCATGTAGTGGAATGATGATAGTACACCCTGTATATCGAGGGGGTGATTTTCCCATCAAACCTAGTCACCTGGTCTAATTGTTAAGGCTCCTGCCTTCCAGCTCATTTTTCACAAGCAGCAACATGCACAACTACAGCCCTTACCCTGTAAGCCTCAAAGCCCATGCATCATGCCTGATCCTCCACTGAGCAAGTTCTGGATCATTTTGCGAAACTGTGGCATAGGTTCTAGAGCGAGCGGCCTCAAAGACAGAACCCACTCGCACGGCACAGGTACGTTGACAATAAGGAACCTTGCACATTGAATCATTGAATGTCGAACCCTTATATGCACGTGCCCCATGACGGGACTTGCTGCCTAAAGCTTGAAATGCCGCACCCAAAATCAAACCCTACACGCCCAAATCCTCAGCCCCGAACGCTGTGGAGAAAGCACCCAGAGATCCCAATACCCCTTAATTAAGGAATATACCTTAAATTATAGAGGCCCCAATATTATGATTCCAGGTATATTCCTTAATCAAGGGGTATTGGGATCTCTGGGCAAAGGTACATGCGCGGTCGCGTGCCGGACATGCACCGGGTTTTGGCGATCTGCCCCTGAGCCGCACGTGGCCTGCGTGTTGATTGCAGGACAGTTTAATTAGGGTTTAGTTGGGGTTTAGGGGTTTAGGGCTTAGGGTTTAGGGAGGGTTTAGGTGTTGTAGGGTTCACGAGGAAGTCTCTACAGAGCATTTCAACAAAATGCCCTACGGCTGTTTCCTCCCAGGCGAGAAATACCAGATTCAGCTCTTGGAGGACTCCGCCCATGGTGCCTCGGAGTTTTGCTTCAGTCTTTGGGTGAGAGAGTTTAAGTTTTTTTGAGCTTTGGCTTGGGCTTTTTAAGTTTAGGGTTTGAGGGTATGGGGTTTGATTCTATAGCTAGAGCCTTTTGGGAATTGGAATGCAAGGTGGGCTGAAGAAGCCCTAGGCGAGGCATGTAACCCAATCTACTCCCTTGTTTTGAAGTAGCAGTGGCCGCAGAAAGTGCATTCTGACAGACAGCAAGTTATCAATGAACACACCCTAGGGCTCCAGTTACCTAAATAGTAAGTTACTGGGGTACTAGGACCTAGAGTAGACCCTTGTTCCCTGATTTTAGGGTTCAGGTTCCCTTAGAAGCCCCTTTAACCCAAAAAGGGCACCCTTTTTATTCCTAGGTTTCTCCTAGGTCTAGGGTATATAAAATATGGTTAAAAACCCACTATTTAGGTAACTGGAGCCCTACGGACTAACCATGAGGCTTCCTGGCGTCTGCTTGGTGCGGGCCTTGTGAACCCAAGCCTTCTTAGAGGATCAGGGGACTTAGTAAGTAGCTTATAATTGGGGTTATAAGTCCCCCAAGTGGGGTTATCCTAATTATAACCTATACTTATAACCTTAACTTACTAAGTCCCATGAGCCTCTAAGTAGGCCCTAAACCCTAAACCCCACAGATCCCTTTAAGGAACCCTATAGATCCCTTTAAGGAGCCCTTTAGGAACCCTTACTAAGTCCCATGAGCCTTCAAGTATGTTGTTGTCAGACCTACCCGTAGTCAGCAGGATTCCTGAACTCGAGTATAATATACCCAGAGGCCCCAAAGTAGTTCTTTTTTGGGATTACCTTCTAGGATTCTATATATGAACCCCCAAAAGGAACTACTTTGGGGCCTTAGTGTAGGGCCTCAGTAGTTTTACTATAGGGCCTCAATAGTTTTACTATGTTGTGCTTCCTTGTTCTTGTTTGTTGTTTTCTGGGGATCTAATCGTACAATCAGGAACCTTGGGAAGTGCTTTTTAGGCTTTTGCTTGAGTCTGCTGGTGGAGTTGGAACAGTTGGGGTCCTTAGTGATCCTCTGAAGCCGCAACTCACCCTGAAAGGAGTTCCTTAGATCATTACGGGAGTCCTTAGCTGGGAAGCCTTACTCGGTCTTTGCATGCACTCTATATCAAAAATATCCAGAAGCCCTAAGTACGCCTATGCCTTACTAGAGCCCCTTCATATTTATAAGTCAATATACATTTCTCAATGAAGGGCTTCTTTGTTTGCCGGGTGACGCAGGCTACGGCTGCTCGTTCGACGGCCGCAAGTGTGGCTCCTTCGGCGTTGTCTCGACAATCTCGTCCCAGGAGCACTAAATTGCTTGGGTCTTGAGGTTCTGTTGCGGTCGCACAAAGGATTCTTGGGGATGTCCCGTGCTGTCCAATGTAGTCCCGTTACGGTTAACCAGTCGTATGGTGAGGATCCAAGAGCTCAGCTTGCGAGAGAAGGAATTTACATCGGTACTACAGAAGTCGAAGAGAGTCACAAAGCATGTATACTATAATGTAACACACCCCCACAGAATGCCCCGGTGTAATGTTTTCAAGACCCCATTATGGAGCCCTGTCAAAGAACCCCCCAGAAAGCAAATCCATCGTAGTTTCACATTCAGGCCACGAGGTTTCTTTGTTTGGATAGGAGCAGCTGCATCTCGACACCTCAAAACTTGCTCCGGGAGTCCCAATCGTCGAAAAAGTCCTGGATCCCTAGAGCTAACACTTGCAGTGTACGGATACGGTGTCCGTTTGTTTGTATATGTATATGTACCTGCATCTGCAAGTGTACGCCGGTCACGTCTATGTGTATGTGACAGCATGTGTTTGTGTATGTCTGTCTATATGGGTTCCCTGAATTCGGGGACTTCAAGGGAGTACAGGACGAAGCTTCGCCTGTGAGTTCCATTTGCCCAAGCAGGGCCTGCCCCAAAGCACCTGACGAGTATCCCGTAGTTTTGTTGCCTGAAAGCCTTCAAGCCTACAACAACCAACAATCTGAAGACCTGCCCCGGAACCAAGACACCCTGCACACCACCTTGATTCGGATTTTCTTTAAAGGCCCCACGGGTGGAAATACAATGGTGTGATAAAGCCAACTTTAACACTCGTAAGACCTTCATCTGTACCCCTAAACACCAAACCCGTAAACCTTATGTTCCAGTGGAGGGCTCTCGGAGTCTTGGCGCGTATGCAGGCGAACAAGCTGGTCAACACCGGAGAGGGAGGCCATCGCCTCCAGTGTTCCGAAAATAGGGGACCCTACTATAGTACCCTAAGTAGTAGGAAAGGGTTCCAAAAGGCTGCTGCTATGCTGCGGTTCTCTAAGCGGGTTCGGGGCACCCCAGCAGCGCACTTTTATCTGTTGTTCTTTTGGGTGTTTTTCCTGCAAACTGAAGAACAGGAGGAAGCGTATCTTTCAAGTCATGAATCTATGAAGGAAGTGCTGGGAACCCTGGGTTGCGAATCGCCCTGAAATCTCAAGCCCTAAGCCATAAGCATCCCTAGATTATGAACTCTAAAGTCCTGAACCCTAAGACCCTAAACCCCTAAACTCCTACAACCCTAGACCCTTTAAAGCAGAAGCTCGGACTGCCACAAAGGTCTTGGGCAAGGCTCTGGGTGCCCACTGGCGCCTACCCCCCGAAACCACGAAACCTCAAGCATGACACGTCTTTTGTAGTTTCGATGGGGTTGAGGGTTTAGGGGCTTAGGGATTAGGGGTTTAGGGTTTAGGGGTTTAGGGTTTAGGGGTTTAGGGTTTAGGGGTTTGGGGTTTACGATTCAGGGGTTTAGGGTTTAGGGTTGAATCAAATCCTTTACGAAGGGTTCGGTGTAGCTTCAGGGTTTGGGGCCGCTCAGGATTTCCAGCAGGTAGATCTCAAGCGCGGTTATCTCGCACAAAGAGATGATGAATCTTTCATCCCACCTGCTGTTGAGGCCCCTAAGCCCCTTTACCCAAATATCTCGTGCGAACCTTGATGACTCGCAGGCATGGTGTTTACAAACAACGATGAAATCCAAGCCTTCTTCATCTTTTCAGCGGGAAGCCCCTTGGTGAGCAGCAGCCGTGACGCCTCAGCCTCTACAAGCCTCAACCCCAAAAGCCCTAAGCCCTAGGCCCACACTCTCACACGAAGACTTAATGGGTGTCGGGTCCCGTTCTCGAGACCTGACATGGTTTTCCGGTTCAGGGTGTACTCCTCCTTACCTTTGGACAGTAGGGACTGGAAGAATGGTAGTAATACTAGTTATAATTGCACCCCATTCCTCCATTCCCTACTAACCAAAGGTAAGCTTTGGCAGCCGGGAACCTTACAGGTTGCCGGGCGTAAGGCTTTCTCGTGGATGGGCTGCTGCGAGCTCGACAGCTCGGAAGCTGTTCTTGTTCTTGGCAGGACAGTGCTATACGTGTTGTTACGATATGAAAAGATAAAGGTTTGAAGGCACCTATCTCCTATGCTACTTGCACAAGAGTTTGAAGGCTTTTGGCCCGAGGGTCGCAGTCCGACGCAAAGCTTACAACTTTAGGCTGGTCTTCAGAACAACCAAACCGTGTCTCTTTGCTAAGAAACCAAGTTGCCAAGGCGGATCTATGACACCAAGCCTTAAACCCCAAGTTCCTAAACCCTGAATTCCTACACCCTGAACTCCCCAAACCCTAAACTCCCCGATATTCTGAGGCTATGAAGAGCTCTGGAGAAAGCACGAGGCCATGTCGCCCCCGGAAGAGGTCTGCCTCAAATACAAGCCCCACGGAAGCAGATTTGGGGGGGTTGGGGGTTACCTCTGAGGGCATTGTAAGGTTTCCTACGGGGACACTACTGCAATACCTAGGATCTAGCAGTAGAGAAGGTAACCTTTAACCTTTTTTGGGTAGTGTAGTAATCCCTATATAATCCCTATATAACCAAAAAGGTTAACCTTTAGTTCCCCATGACACCCGACAAGTAGGACTGGGGTTACTATAAGGGTAGATTGATGGGGTTGAGGGGGTCGGGGCTTGGCCGAGTCGGAGGGCTTCGGTATTGGGGTGTTGGGCTGGGCTTGGGTTTGATGTTCGGGAGTTTAGGAGTGCTTGTTTGGCTTATTTGTGCTTGGGTGTTGTTCTTCACCTTTGGTTCACGGGGCTTGTAACAAGGATCCTGCTATTTGGGATCCAGATCAGGGTCCTTCTTTTCTGGAACTCCCTCCTGGCTTCTGAGTATGGAAGTAAGTTAAACCAGTCCGGATGTGTAAATGTAGAAAAATCGGAGGCAGGATCAAGATCCTTGGGGCGACTGGGGAATAGGGATTTTCTGGCAGGGGGTTGACACATCAGCCAGATAAGCCGCAAGAACTGAAAATCTTGTACTCCAATCCCCCAGCTCGCAGGGCCCTGCTAAAGAGCGACCCTAGCTTCCCTGCAGGTATCGGGCCCGAGCTGCAGCACATCAGCAACGCAAGCAAAGCCCTAAGCGCAAGCACTTTAAAGGGATCTATAGGGCTCCTATAAGGGATCCTTTAAGGGTTCCTTTAAGGGTTTATGGTTCTTGGCGGAGGAAATGCGATTCGTACGACCGCGTGACCTAGCTAGGCTTGTTTTTGGATTGCCTTTCTAAACGCCGCTTAAACCCCACCGTAAACCCCTAAACCTTTTCCCTAAGGCTCAAAAAAGCCCAAAAGCCTTATATAGTATGGTCTTTGGGCCCAAAAGCCTTAAAATGCGAGTCTTTCGATCCTAAGGGTTTGAGCCCCACCGAGGTACACCACTGTAAACAAGTCGGTTCGCATGACCAACATCCAGGGGGCCTTGATGCACCCCCAGCTGGCCGTGATGATGCCTGGTTCGATAGCGTTCCATAGGGTTCTACAGGGTGTCTTCTAGGGTTCTTTAAAAGGGAACTATGATGGATCCATAGAGGTTTACGTTTTTGGGCTTGGGGGTGCAAGAATCGGAATAGGAGGTTGGGGTATGTCAGGGCAGCAGTATATCGGGGCTTCGGGGATCTGGAGCAAAGATGAGTAATCTAGGGGCCTTAATAATTTAAATTGGTTTTGGGGGCATCTTACACAAAAAGCTATGATCTAGTGGTGATTACGTAGGCCCCTACAGGGCCCTAGAGTATTCAGCGTGCAGGGTTTTGGGCTTGAGCCTTTTGGTTTTTTAGGGCTCAGGATCTTGGAGAGTCTGGGGGCCAAGGCTGATGAGAGTTTAGGGCTGCATGACCTTTGAAACTCTTAGGAGGCCAAAAGGGGTTTCAGCCTATGGGGGTTAAGTAAGGATTAGGGTTCCCATAATAGGCTTCATATTAAGGAATCCCTACTGCAAGTTCTGGCCTCCGATCAGAAACAGAGATAGGGTAACTCACTCGGTTTAGGGTTGAGCGGTTGACGGTTCAGGGTTGGGGTTTAGGGTTGAGGTGTGCAGTTCTGTATGGGTTTGCGGGCGTATTTGTAAGGGTTTCGCAAGGGCTGCAGTGGAACCCCAGTCTAATCATTGAGGTCCTTATGCATAGAACCTGTCAAATCCAGCAAAGAAGCCTGGGAAGAACCTTACATCCATTAACACTCGATCACATGCGTATGAACCAGCTACATACGTCACTGAGGTTCGAGGAAGGGTTGATGTGTCGGATTCTGTTTTCTTCGTACAAGATGTTAAAGGGGATACATCTTGATATCTGCGCGGGGTGGCCTTAACTGAGGGCTTAAGCTGGATTACTTAGCGCGAGAAGAAGTTTTGGAGTCTCTGGGTGTCCGGGATTCAGAGACAGAGGGCGCTGACCCAGGTGGCCTAGTGTTTAGGACTGTTTTTAAGCTTCCGGGTTTAGGGTTTGGGGTTTAGGTGCAGGGTTACGGGGTTGAGGTTCTAGTTTTGGACCTCGGCATGGCTCGTGCGAGTCCCTACAAGCCCTAAGCCGCTAAAGCCGGAACAGTACACCCGTCCTAAGCCCGAACCCCGGGCCCAGGAACGACCGAATCGACCAGCACAACGAGATGTACTATTACCTCGTGAGGTCTGGAGGGGTCTGGGGCACTATAGTTTAGGGCTTAGGTTCCCAGACGCCAACAGAGCGATTGCGGTTCAGGCTTAGGCAAGTTTCGGGTGATGTGGGCCCTTTGGCCGGAGTCTGAGATTCAAGAGCTTGGGGAAGTTCTGGTTGTATCGACTCGGCTTGGGGAAGTTCAGGATTAAAGGTGCCTTATAGAATAGGAGAATAGGAGCCTGAAGACTTAGCTAATTCTACTCCTCGTAGGGCTCCTAATTCATTATTGAATCACGCCGGAGTTGCAGGCAGAACGGAAGTCAAGGGGCCTGTGAACCCAGAGATCGACTAACATTTGCGCACCTGAAACTGCCTGCAACCCTACACCCCTGAAGCCGAATCACTACATTTGAAGTCTGAAGCCGTAACACTCTAAGGCCTAAAACCCGACACTCGATGTCATCATTGTGAACCCCTAAGTCACGTCTCAGGCTCCGTTTTATAGGGCCCAGAAGGTGGAAATAGATGACCAACCATGGGATCGTTTCAACATTAATTAACAGATAGATTCCGACATTTTCCGGGTAGAGAAGCACTAAGGAGCAGGTGCCCCTAATCTTATTAAAGTCCAATCTGGACACGCGAAGCCCACCATATTGCTGAACCTGCAAACCGCCCAACAACAACTTACTCACGTCTTCATATACCCTATGGAAACTCTACATAGCCCTGATCCCGAACTCATGTTCCGAGTTTGCCTTCTGTCACGCTCTTTCCAGGACGACTTCCGAGAAACTTGAGGAAGTCTGCGGCAAAGGTGCCAGCAAGAGCTGCTCGAAAGGCAGTAGATCGCCACTTGAGGGCTCTGCACCTACATAAAGTCCAGAGTGATGGGTCATGGCCAGAGACCCATGTTCTCTGGTTTGACATCGGGTTGTTGGACATTGAGCGATTTGGGCTTCGAGTGTGGCGGTCGAGGAGGTTGTGCGTGCCCTGCATCCTAAGCACAGCAAATCTCGAACCCATGATTGAATCTCCAGCCCAAGGCCTGAAACACCAGAAATTCATGCTGCTCCTTAGGGTTCCTGAAAACAGTTACAGTATAAACACCCCGAGAGGCCTTGATGTAAATCTTAAGCCGCCAAACTGAGCCGAGCCTCTCATGCATGGATAATTCAGCGGTGATTAGAAGCTTGCCAGAAAGGCAGAATTGAATCCCAAGTCCCAGTTCGTGTATGCTTGTGTATCAGAGGGGAATCCGACTTCGTTTATGCCGTCCTGCGAAACGTTAGATCCTTTGAAGCAAACTGCTCCGGGCTCTGTGGATAAGCTCTGCCAGCTCCTAAGCATGGAAAAGCTTAGATAGCGAACGGGGGAACTTTAAACTTGTTGGCCTTACATGCTGGCTCTATCTTAGAAAGTCTGAACTTTTTGGGGCCCGGTTGTTGAAGGAGAGAGAAAACCTTTCTGGCACGCTGAAGCGCGCAACACCTTTTACACTCCTTCTCGCATCCTCCAAACTCCTTCACAACCTTGTGAAAACCCATACTACAGTGTAGTTTATAATTACCAAGCTACCGCTTTGGGGGTTCCTTATTGTAATTATGGCATCATGGGCCCCAAAACCCTCTTCTAAATATGAAGGCCCCGACATTAGAACCTGCAGACTTCACCTTCGACCGCCCAGGAATCGGTATTTGGGAGTGTCCGTACAATACGGGAACCCTAACCTAGTACCCTAAATAGTAGGATCCTTGTTATAAGGACCCCATAATCAGGTACCCCTAATTTTCGGAAACTCCAAACCCCAAACCCTTTATAGAACCCTTTATGGATCCCTTTCAAGGAACCCTTATGGATGGAACCCCTTTCGACCGCCCAGGAATCGAGTTCATCGCACAGGCTCACAGCCTCTTGGCGTTCTTCTGTTTCTGTATGAACTAAAAGGAGGCCATTTAGGTACCTATATATGATAGACCCCTATTATAGATCCCTTATAGACCCCCTTGTTTTAGGAGTGGTTCATCCCCTACTAACCAAAGTTTAACTTTTATCCAAAAGTAAAAGGATCATATAGCCCATTATGGGGAAGGGGTCCCCATTAAGGGTCCCTCCTTCTCCCCTTTGATTTTGGGAGGGGTTCAGAAGTCCAAGGCCTCGTCGGCCCAGTCTACGACTCGCTGCAAATCCGCATCCTCGACAGCGACTGCCTTTTGGGAGAGCATTCAAAGGAGGAGAGTACATACCATAGGGTTTTCTAGGGTTCCTTTAAAGGGGTCTATAGTCTATAAGGGATCTTTAATGGGGGTCTACGATGTAGGGGCCTAAATAATTACTGCAATGGATGAGTTAAATAATTACCATTCCTAGGTTTCCTTTAAAGGGGTCTATAACGGATCTATAATAGGGGTCTATAGTATAGGGGCCTAAACAATTACTAATACTATTGTGGGCCTTGTGGGGGGGCTCCTCATTGTAATTATAGTAAAATGGGCCCCAAAACCCTACTCTGCTTATTAAGGCCCCTACATTAGACCGCTGATGAGTAAACCCGCCTTGAATCAGGGGCCTACAGACAGAAGTTCGATGGGCTGAGGGTTGGGGATTCTGCGCTTGAGTTGAGAGCTCTGGCTTTAGCTTAGGGTTGTTGCGTTTAGGGTTCAGGCACTAGGAAACTCGTAAGGTTTGGGATTCAGGCAACACGAGGTATATTCAGAGTTTTGACTTGCTTTGGGTCCAAGGCTATAGGGTCTGGATGGGGGAGCTTGAAGTGTAGAGTTGGTCTCAAGCCGTATAAGGTTGGAAAGCTGCAACCAGGATATACGGACGCCACGACCAGCAGGAGGAGGAGTAGACTACCTTCAAGCACCCCCCAACAAAAACCTAAAGTCCTAGCCCTGATCCCCCAAAGCCCCATCAGACATAATTTTCAAGCACCAGAGTCCCAAACCCCGGAGAATCCCTAGCCCCCCGAAAGCCCTGAAGGTTTAAACCCCCAGATACCATACCCCCAAGCAACCTAAGCCCTAAAGCCGAACAAAAACCAGCGTAAACCTGAAAAGTCCTCGAGTCCCAAACCGCAAAATTCTGAAGGAGTATAAGTTCTAAACCTCCAAGACATAGCCATTGAAATCTTCACGTAGTCTTACAAACCCCTGAAAACCCTGTGCAGAAACCCTCCACCCCCCCCTCTCAACCCTAAAACCCTGAAGCCCAGCCCCCAGAGAAGAACCAACCCCTATAATATAGGGGCCTTAACAATTAGAATACGGTTTCGGGGCCCCTGATACTATATTTTTTTAATGAGGTCCCAAAATATTATAGGTAATTCTTAAGGCCTCCATAGTAGCCCTCGAGGCCGCCCTTGTGCTGAAGAGTTCTCTGGCCTCACCGGATTCCTAAAGGACCCGGCTGAACCGGTTTAGTGCTTAGGGTCTTAGGGGTTTAGGACTTAGGGACTTAGGGGTTTAGGGTTTAGGGTGGGTTTGGGATACAGGGTGTCGGTTGGGGTCTAGGGTCTTGGGTTTAGGGTGGGTTTGATGTTTAGGGTGTCGAACCAGATAGGATTTATCTAAAGAGATGACTGTTTTCGGGTTTCGGTTCGATTAAAGGGGGTTTCCATGACATGTTTGTGCGGCCCAATTTCGGCTAGGATGTACTTGCGACGCTTGATAGGGTTTCGGGTTCAAAAGGGCGTTTGGGGATTGAGCAGAGGATTTCATTCAATGATGGCTTTCGTAATCGGAACTGTATTCCTTCATGTTTTCCAGGGGTGTGTTGAATTCTATGTCCGAGGTGTGTGGCGTTTTCGGCAGTTATTGATAGAGCTTAGTGCCTTTGGGGCGTCAGGCTGCGGTTTTGGGGAGTCTGTTTGTGAGTTTAGAGTTGCCATTTTTTTTGGGGGGGCTTTCGTATTGTGCATTGCACACCATGCTGGACTATTCGCTGCTCTTGCTAAGAAGCTGCATACATCGCACGATCGTCGTTGCTAGATTATGTTTGAAGTTTTCTCAATAAGTACGGCTTGAATTGGGTGCTGGCCTTCGACAGGGTTTGAGGGCAAACCCGCAGCTACAATGCAAAAAAACCTACAGCACCCCCATATCAAACCCTTGCGGAACCTTTTGGCCCCACCCCAGCAAGCAGAATATCCCGCCCTTGTGGCCTGTATGTTTCGGCAAAAGGCTTCTTATTCATAAACTATACTACTTGCATGTATGAGTACAGACAGACACAAACTACAGGACTGGGAGACACACGTGATAGTTGAAACTGAGACCCCCTAATTGAACCTAAGCACAGCCCTCAATCAAACAAGTCTAAACGGCCTATACACCCAGGAATTCTATAGTACATATATATATATATATAAGAACAATCTTAAGAATAATCTTAGTAGCAATAATCTCAATAATGATAACAATAATTAACCTCAAGCCCCCTCGGCCCTTATCAATGAGAACGCATTACGAGGAACTCCAGGGACGAAAGCACTCCATCGCCAAGTTCTCGGACCCGGCCAACGCGCGAAACTTCATGTCTTGGCAGTCCCTGGGCTCTTCCTAGACCCACAACTACCTTGTAATCTACCCCAAATACCCACTATTAAGGGCCATAAGGGCTCTATTAAAGGACCCTTGGCAGTTCCTGGGCTCTTCTTCGGATTTTCTTTTAGGGTTTCGGGTGTGCCGCTTTTTGGGTTTAAGGTGAACGGGTTGCGGTTCAGGGTTTAGGGCGGCTTTAGGGTATGGGGCTGACATAAACCGACTGAAACTGGAAGCCTGAGCAAGTAGTTGGTTGGCTTTGGCGGGGCTCTGAACTACGGGCGTATAGTGGCTTCAGCCTCAGGAAATGGCAGTACTAACCATTCAGAACGCGTTTTCTGGTTTCAGCAACCCTTTTGGAGCTGTATGCCGCCGACATTTGTCCAAAGACCCAGAACCTGTCGCTTGGAGCTTCACTCGGTTATGTTCAATTTAGCTTAACAGTTCGAGGCGCAGGCAAAGAGTTCTGAGCAGGTGCTAGTCGTGGCTACCTTACCCCCTGCACCGAAGCACCCGTGATCCCAACATCCCCTGATCGCGACATGTTCCTTCCTCTTTGCCGCTAGACGGTGAAACTAAACTTGCAGCCGTAATTCCCATGGTTGATGGAACTTGCGCTGAAAGCAAAGTGACTCAAGATTCGTGCACCCTTATTCATCATAGAGCAAGCTATTCGAGACACCTTAGGGCTTTGGCTTCAGCTTTCAACAGGTTCTAGGGGGGTTCTACCCAACGCCTTGGTAGGTCTGGGGCTGAGAGTTTAGTGCTCACTTTTTGTTGGGGGTTGATAGGTCGGTTCTGGGTGCTGGGTTTGGGGTTCATGGGAAGGGTACAACGAAAGTGTTGCCAAGGTACATCAATGCGGAGGCCATCCATCCCGATGTGCTGCCCCAGACAAGGACGGACTTTTCTTTGGTGAGGGATACCCGGATCTGGGGCTGGATGCAGGGGTTTACAGGGTTTAGGGTTTACTGTTCAGTTGGGGTTGTTGGCAGCTGTGCCGAGACTTGCAGGCGCGTACTTGCCAACGTCTGCGATCTTCGATTGCTCCTTTGCTGCACAGGGCCTGGTCTTCTAAGCTCTAAACGGCTATGGGCAGTAGGTTACAACTCAGGCTTTAGGATTGTAGGGCTTATGTTTAATTGAATCTGAACAAGGGCTTGGGCAAGCTTGCAGCTTCCTACATGGCTAAAAGGTGGGTTGTTGAATCCTTTAGCCGTGGCTGTAGCTGCAGTCGTCGTTATGGCAGACCGTCACATCCGAAGCGGTCATGTCACAAGAAGTGAGCCGAGGCTTTGCCATGACACTGAGCAAGAGATGGCAAAGATGGCCACTGACTTGGCCGAGAGTTTCAAAATGAATTTCTTTTAAGTCTTAGGCTTCGCAGCAACTCGCTTCGGGGAGGGCGGCGGCAGGCTCCACCAACATGTGGTGGTGCATGGTGAGCACGGGTTCCTTCAGCAGTGCCCCTCAGTTCCCATGAGAGTCAGAGTCTACCTATCGACCGTTCTGATTAAGCCAGGTTTTAAGGAGCCTGCCGCCGGAGGAAGTGAGATTGCCCTGAAGCAGTCTTGACACCCATGGTGGTGCAAATACCCGCGGTTGGACCAGTGTATGATGTGTGCGACGGCAAGTGTAGGGTTCATGACGTTGACGGTTTCGAGCCCCGGTAGCACATAAGCCCAAAAGCCCGAAAGCCCTAAACCCTGAAGCCCTAAACCCTAAAGCCCTAAAGCCTTAAGCCCTACACCCTACCCTAAACCCCTAAACCCTCTAAAGCCCTTCTAGGCCAGAGCTATGCATAAAGCCTCGATCCCCCAAGTCCAAACCTAAACCACTCCTCAACAATTACCTCTACTGTTTTGGGGATTCCTTATTATGATTGTAGTATAATGCCCCCCCCCCAAAAAAAAAATATATATATATATATATATATTCTAACTATTTAAGGCCAACACTGAACCCATTTTTTGCCGTCGCCGGTGGCCCCTGCCGCACGCGGCGCTTCTCAGCCTCAGCCCTTGGCTTAGTTGGCTTCTAAGCCATTTGTGATTTGTGGAGGTACCAAGAGGGCTACTATAAGGGCTAGTATTCGGATATGGTAAAGGGACGTGAATAAGGGCTAGTATAAGGGCTAATATATATATATATATATATATATATATTCGGATATAGTATGGGGACCTTAATAATTCGAGTCCAGGGATTTAGGGTTTGGGGCATTGGGTTTCGAGCTTATGGGGCTGTATGGAGGTGTTGAGGATTTTCGGGTTCGGGGTTCAGGATCAGGCTTTGGTTTACTTAGAGGATCATGGGACTTAGTAAGTAGGTTATAACTGGGGTTATAAGTGCCCTAAGTGGGGTTATCCTAATTATAACCTACTTATAACCTTACTTACTAAGACCCATGAGCCTTCAAGTAGGGTTTGGCGTTTAGGGTTTTTAAAGCAGCAGTTGGTTCGACAGGTGAGCAGCCTCTTGTCATGAGTGCGGGTTGCAGGGTTAAAAATCCATGGGATTTCGGATGCCAGCTGTGCCGGCTTTGTCGGGATTCAACATCACAACGCGGGTGCTTAACCCTCCAGAACCTCTTCACAACATAAACCCCTCATCAACAAACGGATCCATAAGTGATGGCCCGTCGAGAAACGGATGTATGAATTAGCGGTGCACATTTACTTTCCTCGAGGCTTCCACAAATCACATCGCATAGCCCGCCAAGGGGGCTGACAGGCAAACGAGGACAAGTAACTTCTCATGAGAGCTTGAGTGGCGATTCATCCTGCTCGTCCCTACTTTAAGGTTCTGGGAAAGTAGCAATAACAGTACATAATGATAATAATAGATAGTATTACGTAGTTATAGTAATAATACTAACAAGAAAGCTAACCGTCACAAAAATAAACTGAGGTTCTATACGTAGTTATAGTAGTAATACTAACAAGAAAACTAATCGTCACAACAATACTGTAGTATATATAGGTCCTTATAATAAGGATCCTACTATTTAGGGTCCCATGTTAGTCACAACAATAAACCTGGGTTCAGAGCTTTACATAGGGAATTTCTGTGGGTTCGAGAGCCAAGGCCCTCTGGCTCTGCCTTGCTTTAGTAAGGGGTTTAGGGCTTAGGGTTTAGGGTTTAGGGTTTGGGGGTTAGGGTTTGGGGTTTAGGGTTTGGGGTTTAGGGTTTAGGGCTTAGGGCTTAGGGCTTAGGGTTTAGGGTTTGGGGCTTAGGGTTTAGGGTTTGGGGTTTAGGGTTTGGGGGTTAGGGTTTGGGGTTTAGGGTTTAGGGCTTAGGGTTTAGGGTTTAGGGTTTAGGGTTTGGGGGTTAGGGTTTGGGGTTTAGGGTTTAGGGCTTAGGGTTTAGGGTTTAGGGTTTAGGGTTTAGGGCTTAGGGTTTAGGGTTTAGGGTTTAGGGTTTAGGGTTTGGTGTTTAGGGTTTGGGGTTTAGGGTTTGGGGTTTGGGGTTTAGGGTTTAGGGTTTAGGGTTTGGGGTTTAGGGTTTGGGGTTTAGGGTTTGGGGTTTGGGGTTTAGGGTTTAGTTTTGAGATCGCAGCATCACATAAGCATGAGGTAGAAGCCTTAATAGTCACTAAGCTACGGATAGCTTGGTGTCCTTCCGTTCTTGCCTTATTGGGCTTTGTAAGGGTTTGAACTTGTTTGCTACGACTGCTTTCCAATTTTCTACCTTAGGGATCCTTGTTCATTTCGGTGATACTCTAATGCAACCCAACACCCCGTTCGAATTGTCTGAGCAAGGCTCCTACGTTCCGATCCTCCTTAGAGCCACACTCCCCTAGTCATTTGCCCACAAATCCTATGAGCCCATGGTCAGCGCCTATTATATACTGGTTCGACAAGGTTCTTTTGAGTTGTGCGGGGTATCTCCGTCTTGGGACTGGGCCAGGGTCTGTATAGGGCTTGACAAAATCTCGCACTATCCGAGTTGCCTATGTTCTTTCTCATTTCTGTCATATATACATATATATGTATCGTTATGTCTGTATGATAAATAAACATGATACATCATGTACTCATATAGGGCAGCATGATGTACATGTGTTTATATATATATATATATACACATGTGTATATATTCAGATTTGTGTGTGTATGTGCTATATATACACATATACATACATGTGTATAGACATATACATATGTATTTAAAGAGTTCCATGTATATATTAAGCCTCATCCCTCCCATAGATCAAAGTAATTAGTGACTTGTCAGTCACGGGGAAGCATGCCGAGCCCGGCCCCCCCGTCCTGAAAGCCGACCTCACGAAGCCATGGTCAGTCAGGTTAAGTAGCTGAATGGGTCGCATACGCGTCGGAATACCTCGTCGTAATGGACCGTCATAATCCCCTTCATGTCTTCGCGCATTTCGACTGTATTACTACCCAAACCCCTTTTCCAGCTATTAAGGCCCCCAAAATTAGCCTAGTTCACTTGTATTGTGGACCAGCGAACTGAGCAAATTAAACACTCAACTCCGGGCAGCAGGGTTCCTGGCTTTCTGTCTAGTTGTCTAACCAGCATGGGTTAGGCTTTGTTGTATGTGTTTGTTTTAGAGAGTTTGGGGCTTAGTGCCGGGGACCGGGGTGATTGCCCTTACGAGCCCTCAGAATCTCGAAAGGCAGGCCGCTCCTTCTTTACTGGAACGGGCCATGCATTGCAAGTCGGTTGAGCTTGCATTCAACCAAGTAACCTGTTTTGAATGAGCCATATGGCTTACAGGGTCGCTGTTCAACAGAGCTGTACAAAAGAGCCATGAGATGGGCTCCCTTCTGAAAGTCTTTGTTGGAATCTTGTTTAAGGGTGTGCATGACATGGGTCCCACTCCCCAAAAGGAACCTTATAGGAAGTCTCCATCCACAGTCTTTGCAACTTCCTAAACCCTAGGCCTTGCAACGCATGGCCTGTTCGTCTTAAGCTTTCTTCTCTCGCGGCTCACAAACGGTTTCCTCTCTGCGAAGTTGGCTTGGATTCCGGAAGGGTCCATGCGTGCACAGCTTAGAGTTCCTCATGGGTTAGAAGTATCGGGGTTTACGGCTTTCATGAGAGCGTCAAGACTTGATACGTTATGTATTCAGTGTGCCACCATAGCTGTGCCTTCATACTACCCCTCACTGCTAAGCGTAAATCTAACATCCTGATGTCCCAAACCCCCTAAACCCTATATCCCACGCACGCAAGTCTTCAAGGCTTAAGACCCCTCGGGCCTGCAGCTTAAAGAGCTCAGGGATCGGAAGCTGTAGTGTCTAGTGTCATGAACTTTGGAGCCGTAAGATTAAGATTATATGCCATGGACATGTGATGCTCACATGCTCCCTAAACCCCCTTTAATGGAACCCCCATATAAAGCAGCACGTGACGAAGCTCACACCGTGGACCCTCTGTGATGCTTACATGCTCGGAGTGGGGTGCTGATCTGCCACGGGGGCATCAGCGGCTCTGCTCAAGAACTTTTTCAGGCAGAATCTGGTGAGGTATGACGGCTCCTAAACCATCAGTAAACCCCAGAAAGTTGGAAACCGGATTAAGGCCAAATAGTGCTGGGACTCCCTATGCATTACTGTTAAGGATTGGGGCTATGGGGTTTCCAACTTTTGGGCTTCTACTGTAAGGAATTTTAAGGCTCCAGGGCTCCTTTTAAAGCTTCCTCTGCAGGGTTCGACAGGGGAGGGGTGTGGTGGGCTTTGGGACTATACGGTTTAGGGTTTAGGGTTTAGGGTTTAGGGTTTAGGGTAGAGCATTCAAGCTTCCGGGTGTGCTTGGCGTTTCAGGAGGCAGGGTCGTGCGGGGCGGCTCAGGCAAGGGGCAGGCTTTCATCGTGGTTCCCCAGCAGTGCCCTCGTGCGTTGCTGGGATGTCAAAAAAAATTGACATATCTATGAATCTATGAAGTCAGATGCCATACCTACCAACGGCTGCCTGACGACGCTCTTGAACCTCGTGCATCTTTAGATGGATGCATTGTTCCAAGCATGTCTCCCGCGGGTAGCTGCCAGAAGCCGAACGAATCGGGAATCTCTGCCCTAAACCCTAAACCCGATACCCGAAGAGTCAGGCCTAAAAAGAGTATCTATATACGTGATCCTTAATTCTAATTTCCCGCCTTCGTCCATCTTCATCCCAGCTTTGATAAATCCTCGGGGAAGAAACATGCACAGCCGTATATGGTCTATAGGGTAGGCGTGGGGTTTACTTTAGGGCCATTCGCGCCATTGAAAGCATTTCTAGACTCTAGACGCTAGACGTACACAGCCACCAAAAGAGTCCCCGCTAAGACTGTAATCAACCATTAATACCGAAAGTTGTTCGAGCGGAACGCTGCTACATTTGGGAGCAAATCCATTCAAGCCA